TCGCTCGCTCGCTCACTTTTCAGTCGGGGTAGGGGGAGGGGGAGAGACCCGAACTATACGGCCTCACATTAACCTGAGGAATTGCACGGGGCAGCAGCGGCATTTCACAGCTTGCCTCTAGTCGGCCTCCTCCTACACACTCAGACCCTTCTGGAACTCCGAGTCAACGTCCAACCAACCTACACCTCGACACACCCGGGAAAACAAAACCTCAGACCCGCTTAACAAACAAACGTGCGGTCATTTTGGACTGTGCATTTCGGATACGCCAGTGCCCCTGAAAGCCCGATTCACAGATTAATATAAGTATAATATCAAGTCAAAACCCTGTTGGACAAGAGTTAGTGTTTTGTGCTTATTTAATTGCGTAGTGAAACTTGTTGGAAATTTTTAGGTAATTAATTTGTTCCAACTGGGTTGCTTTAAACGACATCTAATAAGGAGCTGAAAAGAGGATGCATATGACAATTATTGTCTTACAGAGAAAAAACTTCTTGCTGCCGGGGACTAACTGGTCATTTCAAATGTACAGACTTAATCATCACAATGGAAAATTGGATAAATGTGGATGAAAAGGAGTCTAAAAATGCTTTCCTGGTCTCGGAATGGTGTTGAACACTCAAGAATGTGTTACTTTACAAACTTAACCTGCATTTAACATGTTTGAGTTTGTGGAGAGAATGACTGGGAGTGTGTTGGTTGAGAATCCAGTACTGCACATGCAGAATGTAAATAAGCTGGATGGGTGTTATGAACCCTGTGAGAGGGTTCACAGTGCACAGAAAACCAAATCTCAGTGGCTGAACACAAGCGGAGGTCCATGATCCCCGTCTCACCCTGACTAGTGCAGTGCACACACTGACTCAGCCCTGTGAGAGACTTTACACCAGCGTTTCACCTGCTGTTCCAAATCATCCCACAAGTTTGCTGTTTGTTTGCGGTCCTACGACTTTCTAGTGTCGTAGTGTTCAGTCACGCTGGCTGAACGTACAGACTTGTCTCTGGTCGCCGTGCAGTCGTCATCCGGTGACATGCAAGTGTCTGGACACTGCTATTGGTGGATGTGACAATTGAATATTACAAGATTCTTGAAATGAGTGCAAGAATCTTCATTCTTCTGATCTTGGAGGAGCATTAGAATTAAATAGAATTACTAATTATGCGTATTACAAAAAACCAACATACGGCAGAGTTACGTAAAATCTTAACTACTCCATTTTATCCTCTGCTTCTAGTCAAAATAGTGTAGTCACGCCATAAATCCACAAACGCATACTTTCTGAACCAAATAACGTGTAGAAACAGACATAGAAGAAACATGCAGTTAAATACAATCCTCCTTGCATTTTATTAATTCCTTGCCAATGTCCTTTATCCACAACTGCTTTCTCTACATGTTTTCAATTGTACTCTGCCCATCAATACACATCATTTGAAGAGATAGCGTGTCAGTCATGATGCACCAGTGCAACACGACAAAGCACCATCATGGCATGAGATCTGCAGTCTGAGTGCCTGTCTGGGACTGGCCTATAAGTTTGAACGGTGGAAATCTGACCCGCTTTAATGCACATCTGGCTCATATTTTCACAGCGTGAGGCAATGCTAAGGTATAGGCATGCCCTGCGCTCGAAAGGGCCCTCGTTTCAAACAAAACAGAGGAAGCAAGTGAAGCGTGGAGAGTGTGTGTGCTCTGTAGCCATCTGGTAGCCATCAGTAAAAGCAGAGGAAATGATCTCCATGCCGCTCTCGGACACCAGAGAGCATCGGCTTTCTGCTGCATGGCCATACGAGAGAAAAAAAAGGGCTGAGAGAGAGAACGGGAACGTGAGGTGAAAGAGAGAGAGAGAGAGAGAGAGAGAGAGAGAGAGAGAGAGAGAACTCTGGTAGGTTCGCATTCCTGCCCGCTCCAGCATGCTGGGAAATGCTGTGGAAAAGTACAAGTGGGACTGCAAGGTGGAGATTTAGAAAACTGAATTAAGCTCTAAAATTGCTAATGCGTTGAATAGGAAGTGAGCGCCTTTACTAGATTATGATCTAAAAGTAGAACTGAAAGTTTTACTACATTGCACAACAAGAACTTATTCAGAAAAAAAGACGCTAAGTGTGACAGACAGTAATTACTGTTGAGGCGCGGCACTGAGACAGATTTTTCTAACAGGCTATTATTACTGACCGTATATAAGGCAATTTCCAGAAAAAAAAATAATGGAGAACAGTTAAAAAGATTAAGCAACACCAGACATCAGCAATAATGTCAGTGTAATCTACCGTAATCTACAGTGTGATCTACTCGGAAACAAGGATTAAAAAAAAAAAAACTCTGTGGAAAATTAGTCATATGTCTAACACAGTAAAAATAATTTAAAAAAATAATAAAGAAGCGTGATCCCCCTTCTGTCCAGGTCCACAGTTCTTTTTGACCGTATCTTATCACGGTTTGGGAACGAGCATGGCTGAGCAAATATCCCAGCACATGAAAGAGCACATCTGTTTACGAACCGCAGCAGGTACACCTTTTAACCAGATGACAAACAGGTACTGTGTACTCAAGCAGGAACTGACGACTTCTGTAAGATACCCTGGATGTGCTTTCCAAAGTGAAACACTGCAGGTGAAAAAGCTCAGTTCAGAGTCTGATTTCAGAAAGCTGAGGGAAGAGAGACGAGGTGCGCACTGATACCGATGTTGCTATTGGGTGTCGGTCTGATATCGTGCTTTTACTCGTATGTTAACGAATTATCCGATACCATGTGATAATATGTGACGTCAGCCTACTGTGTGATTCCACGTTAATGAACAGATGACACAAAATGACAGATCTGGACGTGTTTCGGGATTAATAATCAAAGCAAAGCAGACTGCAAACTGCTCGGTGGAAAAACCACGAGGAGGAACTACAGCATCTTCCTATGATACAAAAGCTTGTGAGATCGTGTGTAAAAAACTATCCTCCTATTAAAAAGCTATCCCTTAAATATCGCAGATTGATTATAGTATCGCCTGTGGCTTTGAGGGGAAAAGAAGGGGCATGGCCAGAAGGGGGCGTAGTCATGTACACGTTACATCATTATAAAGGAAAAAATATCGAAGGTTTGTCACGAGTCGGCTGTAGCTGCTATCGCTAGCATTAGCATTTAGTCAGTTTTTCTGGCATAATTACTTGTGAACAAGTTCAGGAATGCTGAAGGTCAAGAAGACTGAAGTCGGGACTGTAAATAAACGTAATGAGATATTAGCTGTAACCGAGTTCATCATTAAATTTAAGTAAAATTATATCAAGTACACATTCAATTCTTGTATAGTGACAAGGGAAGCTAGGGTGCATCAGAGAAGGACGTTTTGTTCTGCTGAGACAGACAGCAGGCAGCAGGCTATTAAGGTTTGAAAAGGAAACACATTATGAGATACATCACCATTTATTTTTGTCGATCTTACAGCTACAGACACCACGTTTTCCGATACTCATTTATAACTATTGCGATACTTCTACGTAATCTATCGACAGTTCCAGATACTATCGTCAATCATCTCAAGCCTAGTGCGCGCGTGAGAGCACTTCAGGTCAGCGAGCACTGAGCACTGAGTGCTTCCAGCCTTTTCTTTCCTCATGAGTCAAGATGAATTAACGGCACCTTGCACTCAATTTTAATGGACTGCTATTGCCCTGCACGCTCAGGTCAGCCATCCTCCTACTCTCTATTAAAGAGATTTTAAATACCTTCAACAGAAAAGTCAGTACAAGGAGATTATTGTTAGCAGGACTCAACAATGATCTCCAGAGCTACATAAAACGTTCCATGACGTCCGACTGCATAACACTACGTATGTTTCTCATAGGACATCAACGTGTAACAAAAATGTGCACTCTGGCTGAAATGAAAGAAATAATGCATGCTTTAGTTAGAAGTGCACATCCCTAAAGTTCAGGCAAAGTGATGTGCTGTACAGTTTTAAATGGGCATGCTGGTGAGCCATTCTTTAGTTTGAGGAACACTAGACATGACGCAGTAGACTCATGACAGAGCAGACCTGAAATAAAAACTAGGAAGTCATAACTATTAAAAATAAAACTATAACCAAAACACATCCAAGATTTTTACTTACTGTCTGTCAGAGTCTATGTTATTTATTTCATGAATATTTAAAAAAGGCAGGCAGGTTTAGAACCTGCAGCTTCAAAGCTTTAACTGTCAGAGCCTGAGTAAATAATAAGCAACTACTCTGAAACTTTATAGCAAACAAATATGGAGGGCAGACCAGTAACTCGTGTGTGTGTGCGCGCAAGTGTGTGTGTGAGAGCGAGACAGGAAGAGAACAGACGTTGCATTTGGAGGCCCTCTAGAGAGCAGTGTGTTTGAGTGAGTTATGGCCTCTGAGGCCTGTTCCCGCACAAATGCAATCCAAACACACAGCCCACTGAACCAATAAAACCAAATCAACCGCAGAAGTAAACGCCTAACCAACGCCAATCTAACGCCAATCTCTCAGAAAGCTCAGCAAGACTTCCAGAGCGCACACACATTGCTTCCCACGGAGGCTAAGGTATTTACATGACGCCTCCAAAAAAACGCCAGCGGCACCACCATGGCCGCTCTTCCTGCGGGCTTGGCCATGACTGACTGAGTCAGCACTGTGGGTATGGCATTGTTTATCGTGAGCGAGATCACTTTCCCAGCTCGGACTGTTTACATAAACAAGACAAAATGGGAGAAACTGCTCAGAATCAGAATCAGCTGGACAAATCAGTAGCCTGGGCATGCAGGGAGATCTCGTGTCCTCATGCATGTATATATGTATGAACTTAACACACTTGACAGCGGTGTGATGTATCTCAATGCTGGAGCTATAGCGTGAGCTTACTCATTCTCACCTGCTACACCACACACACTTACATTTACGGCATTTGGCAGATGCCCTTATCCAGAGCGACTTACGTTTTATCTCATTTATACAACTGAGCAGTTGAGGGTTAAGGGCCTTGCTCAAGGGCCCAGCAGTGGCAGGGCTGAGATTTGAACTCACAACCTTCCAATCAGTAGTTCAACATCTTAACCACTCAGCTTCCACTTCCCCTACGCTGCCACACACTGACCGAGGCGCAATCTGGCAGACGGTTTTCGCTAGGCAGATTAATCCACAAGGATGACAGGCTTTCTTTTCAGAATCAGAAACACAGAGCTATGAGGAAAATCTGAATAACCTGAGCATGCAAAGAAAGAAAGAAACAAACAAACAAACAAACATGTTAGGCAGACTCGAATAATATCTCAACGCTGGCCAACCACTTGCTGACTTTTTTTTCCACAAACAATGCCCTACATTATAAACCATTGTTGAAGAGTATAATGATTATGAACTCATTTTTTTTTTTTTGCATCAGTCTGTGTTAATGAACCTAAGTTAACTAGCTCACGATACGTTATTACATTATGTTTGCTATCACTTTTTAGCCTAGTCATTTAGGTTTCAGGGCAGAACACAGGAATGAGCAGCAGGTTGGAGGTTTTATTTGCTCGATGGGCTTGCAAATAAAAGCCCCTTTGTTAAGAGAATCACCTACTAAATTCTGAATTAGGTCACTTCACTCAATTTGCTTTATCTGGATCTGATAAATGACAAAGATAAATAAATGAAACATAATTGAAGGTGTCGCTCTTCTTCTTTCACGAGTACTCTTACCTGAACTGATCACTTTAATCAGTTAATCCATGCCAGATGGATTCTTCTCAAACTCAGCACGTCACTTTTATACTTGGGTGTTAATGAAGGGGGGAAAAAAGAAGAAAGAAAAAAAAAGTCTTGCAAAACCCATCACGAGTGCTAGGACAATCAAGTCGCTTTACAAGGAAGTGAAATCACATTTCGAAAACCGGTGTGTGTTTTCACGAGCATTCGTCCTTTCTGAAGTGTTCCACAACTAAAGCATGAGACGAGTAAAAATCTATCACTTATTACAAAGGATTATTATTAATCATGGAGTTAAAGGTCATTATTAGCTTAAAATCTCAAGATATAGCTTAAGAAATAAAACATATATACAGTGAAAGAATATATTATATAAACAGAAAGAAAGATACAAAACTACAGGCAGAAAGAAAGAAAAATATAGACAGAAGAAAATATCTAATATATATATATATATATATATATATATATATATATATATATATATATATATATATATAAACAGAAAGAAAGAAGGCAAGAAATAAAGCAAGACAAAGTGAAAAAGAAAGCAAGAAAGAAAGATACAGACAAGAAAACAGACTACAAACTGTAAAATATGTAAAACAAAATACAATATAAACAGAAAGAACGAAAGGAAGGAAAAATATAGACAAGAAACTATAGAGTACAAACTGTAAACTATGCAAAATAAACAAAATACAAGAAAGAAAGAAAGAAAGAAAAAAACAAAGAAAGAAAATGCAAATTGAAAGAAAAGAAAAAGATGAAGAGCCAACCTCGAGGCTACGTCTAATGCAGTAAGTTTTGGGCATGAATACTTGATGCCTGTATGTCTTCATTTGTAAGAGACAGTTAATAATTTATTAAGAGGAGAATCCATTTCAAGAGGACTGCTCATCATTTCAGACACAACACAACTTACTGAAATGGAGAGCAGGCGAGCGAGAGAGAGAGAGAGAGAGAGAGAGGTTAAGAGAAAAACAGTGTTAACTTGAGCAAAAAGGAAATGAAAGCGATATGGAGAAGAAAGAGGGAAGGAATAAGTACACGTTTGTCTCAGCAGTAAGCTAAGCTGATAGACTTGAGCACAAACGTCAGTTTGTTTCCGTTTGCCTTATTTGTTTGAGCTGAGCATTAAGGCATACATGAATCCATTTCCAGCAGATTTAATTAAATCCAACAAAAGTAAATAAACACACTGTAACGAGAAAGACTGAAAGTCATTCCGTGTGTGTGTGTGTGTGTGTGTGTGGAGGGTGGAAAAGCGGCAGCTGCACACGCTGCACAACGTGAGTAATGGCAGTGTGAGTAGTGGAGGATGTGAGTGGTTAAGAGCAGCCGGTAGCTCGCTGAGACGCATTAAGGGGAAAGAGGAATTCTCTATTAAGGCGGCTACAGCTGCAGCCTGTTGAAGGTTTACACACATGCAGAAATTTTCCTCCTTTCTCTCATCACGATCATCTCCTCTTTCCCTGGTGCATCGTGGGAAAGTGGAACAGCAGAGCTTTATGTCAAGCTCCCTTACGGCACATGAGCACAGCCCACAATTTTTTTGTTTTAAAATATATCAAAGACACACTCAGCCACTGGGGCTAGGACATATGACATACATATGGTCTGTAAAAGATGTACAAAGAGCTCTCGTGAAGAGCAAGCTTCATGTCAATGAAACTCCTGCTCTGTTTACTGGCTGGGTCATCGCTACTGATTTTCTTTTTAAACCTCCTCTTCCTTGTGTTTATGTTAGCGATGACCAGTATCACGCTGAACCAATCATAAATTCATTAGTTAGCCCGCCGGGCAAGTAAAAACTCTAACATACTGCTCATTCCCATGTTCTGATGCCCTGAATCCTAAATGACTAGGCTTAAAAAGTGGCAGCTAATGTAATAAAATATGACAAATATGACAAAGCTGGTTCGCTACATCAATGCATTACTACAGACGAAGAGAAACACGAGTTCACGATCATCCTCCTCTTCTAAGAAACGTTAGAATATTTGCGACTTCCACAAGATGTCAGCAAGCATTTGCGAACGTTTCGGCTACGAGTGGTAGTGTTCCGTCCTCACACTGGATGTAAAACTATTCGAGGCCCTGCATGTGTCTTTAATTTCTCCTGATGTGCTGAAATGCCCCTCAACTTGAAATTCCTACTCATCAACTTCAGGTATAGTCATCTCGGCTACGAGTTTCTACTCTTGTTTAACGTCAACCGGACAGTGCCTCGATCAATGTGTGTAGTGCAGCATTATGTTTAAACAGAGCTACATTTGTAAATCTACTTCTCCACCTGCCGACTGTGAATAAAAACTAATCGTCTGGACACAAAAGCTGCTTGTCCCAGGAGTTCTGGCTGCTGAATTGTCCGATTCTGAGTATAAATGACAGATATGAGAACAGACCCATTAGACATTCCCAATCTTACAGATCCTCTTGATGGAAAGAGGGAGGGTAAACAAGAAATGGAGTGAACGGGACAGCAACATTAACTTTCCCAAAATAAGCTGATCAGCATTTCTGTAATATAAATATCATGATTAAAAAAGATCATGCATATCCATCAGAGAAACTGACACAAGCACATTCTGGAATCCATTTCAGTCTTGCATGTACAGGAATGAAGGGTTAATAACTGGACTCAAACTAAATAAAAGTGGAAATCGATACTGTGCTGAAGTCTCAGAGAGTCTGATCACTTCTGGCCACACACAAACCTGCATGTCAGCTTGTCAGGTTTCACTGCCTCTCCCTGGGCTTAAAGGAGTGCGCGCACTTTGGGGATGACGTTATGAAAAAGAGGAAGTTTCAAAACAGAAAGATAAGCGCTGGATGGAAACAGTGAATGAGATGAGGGGGGGATGTTTATTATTATTATTATTATCATCGTTAGTCTCTAGTAAGAGTCACAACTCTGGATTTAGAGGATGTCATGTTGGACATGGTGGAGTGTTGAAAAATTCCACTTTAGCCAGCTGTAAAAGCAAAGCGAGCGGCCTTCGACAATCCTATATCACCGATAGAAAGCAATAAGAGTTGCCATGGCTGCATGCTGTCTATGTGTGTGTGAGAAAGTCCACATTGAAGCGGTGAGCGCGCACTTTGAGCCCTGTGCTGAACACTGAATGCTGAGCGCTTCCATTGAGCAGCACACAGAAAGTCAGCTGAACAGCCGCGCTCTTGATTCGCCGCCAAACAGCCAGGAACACAGCAGACTTTTGACCCTCGCTGCTCAAAGCTCAGCTCTGCACTGCTCTGCTCGGCACAGCTTGAAGCAGTAGGGCTGGGAATTTGGGCTCAGTGCCCACACTAAAACATTCTCATGTCAGGCCTGCATATTATATTTCTGTCTAGAGGAGGAAGCTATTGGTTTGGAGGAAAGAAAAATAAGTTAGCCGGTTTTGGGAATGTTCATATGTTACAGTTACTATTTAGTAACAAAACCACAAACTGTTTGATAAAGCTTTGTGGAAAAAGTGGGGTTCATGATAGTCCCTTTGCACCTCATTTCTCAATGATGTGTACTCATTTCTCAAAAACGGCCTGAACCATAATAAATTCAGATCAAATGAAAATGTCTTGCCAAGCTTCTAGAGCTTCACATCCTTTCTGTGAAATCTAATGTTTTAAAGAAAAAAATAAATGCTGGTCCTTTTTAACCTAATCATCTATACAGCGTGCGCAGTATTTCCATGCAGTTCAGGAATTCGGCAAAAATATTTGTAAACCATGCTGTAAATTTATAAAACTCTTTATATAAATCAGAGAGATGAATTTGTGTTTATGTGTTAAAATTGTAGCTGTGCAGATCTGTTCATGCATGAAGACCACAAAACCTTTGGGAAATTGCAAGTAACTACATATACAGTCCGGAAGTATTTGGACAATGATGGAGTTTTTGTGATTTTGCCTTTATACACCACCACAATGGATTTGAAATAAAACAATCAAGATGTAATTGAAGAGTAGACTTTCAGCTTTATTTTAAGAGGTTCCGCAAAAATATGGCATTTACCATTTAGGAATTACAGCCATTTTCAACAAAGTGCCTCCATTTTCAGGGGCTCAAAGGTATTTGGACAAAGTGAAATAATTGTAAATATAACCATAATTTTAATACTTGGATGAAAATCCTTTGCAGTCAGTGACTGCCTGAAGTCTGGAGCCCGGAGCCCATGTTCTCAAAACTCTAATTCAGAATTTCCTCCCTGGAGATGCTTTGCCAGGCCTTCACTGCAGCCACCTTCAGTTGCTGCTTGTTTGTGGGTCTTTCTGCCTTCAGTCTTGTCTTCAGTAAGTGAAAAGCAGCTCTATTGGGTTGAGATCAGGCGACTGACTTGGCCATTGAAGGATATTCCATTTCTTTGCCTTCAAAAAGTCTTG